TATACTGACTTTTGTACTTTATACTAGATGACTTTATAGGCTTTCAAAATTTATGTCTTCCTGAAGTAGGAAGCATAATATTGAACATGTAGTAGAGCTACATCTCCACTTATCAGAATTAATGCTAGTGGCATATGGCAGGGAAGAAAATCCAATTAGTTTTAAGGTTATTGCACATTTGCAGTATCAGGTCTACTCTGGTTATCTCCAGTTACCACAACAACAAACATGAATTCCTATAATGCCTTTTTTTTTGGAGCCATAGTCTTACATTTAACCATAATATGCTGAAGAAATACTGTAGGAAATTGATAGGCTTTTGTTATAAAAGTTTGAGCATTATACATTTCCTGCAAGTTCTAGTAGAATTTTCTTTGCTCAGCAGAACCTCATTCTGGAAATTGTTTCTGGAACTCTGTTTAAAGGGACCTTGTGTCCTGTGTGTTAAAAAAAGAAATAAATAAACTAAAAGGTACTGTGAGGATCCTGGTTTCAAGTTTGACTCAGGCTGTTCATCCAGCCTTGGATCTGTTCTCAGTGACTTTAGCTTTATTTGCCTTGGTTAACCTAGCTCTAACATTTGTTAAAAAGCAAAATCCTCACGGGCACCATATGCTGTGTCTGAGATGAGCAGTCTTGCATTAGCAGAACTTGTAGCCTTTGTTTAATGAGATTATTTGCAATTTTGACTGGTAGTTTATTTATCTGTGGCATTATTTTACTATTGGTTAGAACTAGTACTATTTTTACTAGAGTTGAGATTAAATTTAAGAAACGACAAACCAAGCGTCAAGGTACCTCTTGCATTAATAATATCATTTCAGAACATGAAACAGTGGAAAGCAACATTTCAAGAAAAATGTTGTGTCAGAACTATTGGTAGAGGAATTACTTTGTAATCATAAGGATGTGGAGACACTGGGATGAAATAACCATATTGTTTTGCATTCTCAAATAAATATTGGCTTGCCTATCTCTTTCCCATTTAGAGATATCCCCTTCAGTAGCTTCATTTTGTGGCTCAAAGACAAATCTCCCCCCAAGAAATTCAACAACTCACAAGTGCTAGTGTCACAAACCTGTTTCCCAACCCATCAGTTTTCTATGTATCAAAACTATAATTCTGTTGAAAATAACGGACCGAAGTCATAGAAGTATTTTTCCTTTTAATCATTAATATTAATTACTGTTAATTTAGTTCCTCATGCAACTACCAATCTATCATTTCTTTATAATTATTTATCAATTTAAAAAATCTGAGTCTGTCTTCAAAGCTTATTTTAATGAACAAAAGGAAAAAAGGGATTGAATCAGTATTTTAAAATTTGTTTTGCTTTACTTGCTGTGGCAGCATACCTTCATCATTAGCAGCAAATTTTAGTACAATAAATGGAGCACAGCATGGTCATTAAGTTAGTGTGCCACTGTGATGTTTTTTTAGAATTTTTTGTTATGCAAACTATTAGAGGATTGTGGGAAAGGCAAATAGAAAACCACCTAAATTATCTAGATAATGCAAGGTGTTTCACTGCCTTGGTAATCAGAAAAAAAGCAAGTAAGGAGGAATGGTTTTTGCTTTGAGAAATTTGGGAAAATTTGCTTTGCACTTTTAAAAGTTTTCCTTTTTAATGGGAGATGCTGGGTTGTTGGAAGGAATCTACAAATGGTATAACTTGCCAAACCCAAAGAATATCAACTTGCGGTGGGGAGGGATAAGACTAGATACACACTAGTACTTGTGCTTTTGTTTTTTTTTCCTGAAATGCGCATGTTTTAGAGAAAAGATACTTTAGCTTTATAGAATCATCCTGGTTCTTGTGCTCACCAGTGTTACTGCAAAGAGACAGATTGCTAATTGCAGCAGCTGACCTGAACTCAAGGCCAGTCACAGTAAGCATCAGTTACTCACTCCAGCAGTCCATTGGGAACAAAAGAAGAGTGGAGAAGGTTTGCCTCTGATGGACCCTGGATGGGTCAAAGATGCAGTTCATTAGATGTTTGCAAAATGCTTCGTATCAGTTGAAAACAGAATAGTATCAGTTAAATGTTAATGTCTGACTCAGGCTTCGTTTGCTGATTTGTGTTGTCAGAATGCTTTATGTTGTTTTTCTCCTCACAGTCTGTTTACGTGTAGAGATCCTTTCAATATCATATCTTAATGTCTCTAGGTGGTTCCAAAATGGAAATACTACTAGGATTGTATCTTTCACTCCTTCATCTGCCTTGTAGGAGAAAATGTATGACTGTTTTGTAAAATCAATGTCTTATTTGCATATGTTGGTGATAAATTGATAAATGAAGAATTTAAAGTGGAAGAAATAAGTTAAAATTAATTTTGCTTTTCTGACCCATTTGATGAAGTGCTCAAGTGCATATATAACTTTTGAACGCATGAGGAGTCCTTTTAAGCATCACTGACTGCTCATTTACTTTGAGGTATGTGTGAACTGAAGTGCTGTGATCACTGAAACTTTTTTTTTTGCTAAAAAGACATATGTGGTCTTGCAATTCCTGCCACGCAACCAAGTATTTTCCATGCCATGACTTGAAATGACTTCTGAAAAAGTAATGCTGTTGACTTGGATGATGGGAATTTGACCCACTGATACATCCTGTGGGATTTCAATGTAAAGATGATCTTCTTTAAAAAAAAATCAAGTGCAGTGTCGATGCAAGAATAATCCTGAAGATTGAGTCCTTCTTCAAACCTAGAGTTCAGGTATAGAAACATCACTGACTTTCCATACTATCCTGCCAGTACCTGAGAAATCCATTCTTCAGGATCCATTTCATAATTGCAGATTGAATATTTGTTTACCTTTTCTCCCTAAGAATGTCCCTTAAGAGGACATTGTGGGTAAGCAGAGGTGGCTAACTCATTGCACAGAGACTATCAAACAGAAATTGTCTTTAGTCAATTCATTAATTTAAGATGCTGAATAAAAAAATGGCATTTAAGTTTTTTATTTCCTCTTTGCTTCTTAATAAAAAAAAATGTAAAACTAAAAGCATTTGCTTCGCGTGAAGTTCCTGAATTCTCTATCCATCCCTTCATTATAGGCTGCTTATTATGTGAGATGACCCCACGTTTCACTTGCCCAGAAGGAGTAGTGATGGCTGTGGTATTCCCTACTAATTCAGAAATTCACATTTTAAGTTGAACCTATTCAACTCCTGTTTACTAGCAGAAAAGATGCCATTGCTCAAATATGTGGTAGTTCTTGGAGCTTTTATTGCTCAGAAATTGGCCTTTTGCTAGATTGGCCGTGCTGTCATCACACTGCCTATTAGTTCTTATTTTTGACATGCTTGTTTCACCTAGACTTTTTGTTTCATGGATAAGAGATAATAATTCAGGTAATGCTCACAAGTTATTTGCAACGACGGTATCCTACTTGAAGGTAAAGATGGTTTAAAATTTAGTTTCTGTAGTCAGGATGATAAAATCTTAAATCAGCAGGATTTTCTATGTTGCAAATTATTCAAATAGCAATAATTTGTAATCTTGATATTCCAGAACCTTGGGGCTGCTGGTGAAGCGACTGGAGAAGGGTGGAAAAGCTGAACAAGAAAACCTTTTTCGTGAGAATGATTGTATTGTCAGGATTAATGATGGAGACCTTCGGAATAGGAGATTTGAACAGTAAGTGTTCTTACCATATGTTACATTGAGTTATTTGGTCTTTAACACTGTACCTTGCAGTAATTTGAGGAAAGGAGGAAACAATCATCTAAGCTTGCCTTTCTAATAAAAAAGAGATACATTAAGGGACATTAGATTTTTTTAATTAGCCAAACTAAAAAAAATCAGATAACTATTGTCATAAGAGTATATACAATTCACATGTTTGTTTTTGTACATTATGACTTTTAACTTATACTTGCAATGCACAATGTTTGGTATAAGTAGACAGCATGAGACTATATTTTTAACATTGTAAAAATATGTATGGTATTGTATGTGTGAGGTACTGATGGTACTATATGTGAAAACTTCCTGGAGAGGTTTGAGAGATAAATATTTGCTCAGTGGATGTCTGGACTTGGTAGAATCCCAAAATGGTGAATCAGAAAGACTTTAAAAAGTGAAATTAGATTGTAGTTCACACATAGATAATTGAAAATAAAACCAGAAAAGAGGTATGCAGAAACTGAGTGATTTCAAAGATGGTAATATTGTTCTGAAATCTGTAACATGTTGAGAGCTTAAAGGAATATCATTTGTGCTAATCATCTTAATATATATCATACTTAATATATATTTGAAATGTGTTTTTTATTTCTTGGACTCTGACCTGAATTGGAACATAACCCTGTACCATGTAGTTGAGAGCAGCTTGTTGCTGCATGTTCTATGATTCTGAATCACAATTTCTGAAGTCTGTGAGAGACTTGTTGACATTGTATACTTTGGATCATGACCTAGAGCCCAATGTCTGTCTGTACAGGATTGAACATTCTTTTCCCATTTTTTAATGTTGTGTTCTGAAAGACTACTGACTTACAAAAAGTAAAGTGTAAACTAGACTTGTTGCAACACTGCATATAATCAGCAAATTCTGGAATACATAGTCTTTTTATAAATTCTACTTTTCATTCTAATAATTCTGTTGTGCCTGTGATTACTGTTGTCACAATTATTGCAACGAGCAAGGTTCAAAACAAAAGGACATTGCAGTCCTGCTATAGAGCTGTCTGCGTTTCAAGACTGGTTAAAATTTTTGATTTTCTGAATCCAGTAATTGCTATGTCAGTTGTTAAGCATATTTAACCATTGTGTTGCCCTAAAGCAATAAACCTTAGCGAAAAACAGACCAAATCGACTAGTGAACAGATTCAAGTTTTATGCTTTATGCTTGAGTGCAATGTGTCTGTCAGCTCGTGTTGCTTAATTAACATTAGTAATTATGCTTATAATGCTTTGTAGTCTGCCAGTCCTAATTTGCTAATTTTCTGTTCATTTTAAAACCTAGAGCACAGCATATGTTTCGCCAAGCCATGCGTACACCCTTCATTTGGTTCCACGTGGTCCCCGCGGCGAATAAAGAACAGTACGAACAGTTGTCCCAAAGTGAGAAGAACATGTCCTACTCCAGTCGCTTCAGCCCCGATTCCCAGTATGCTGATGGCAAAAGTATTAACAATTCTGGACTTCACACGTTACAAAGAATGTCTCGAGCGGGTAACCAGTCCGATCAGACAGACTCCTACTCGCACCTACCTCATAGTGTGAATTCATCAGGGAAACCACCCTCTGGCCTGGCACCATCACCTCAGAAAGTTCTGACATCCACTGCCAACAGTGGGTATAACACCAAAAAGATAGGCAAGAGGCTCAGTATACAGCTAAAAAAAGGTAAGGCACTAGTGGGCTCCTCACACGGCATGAGGTACGTGTGTGTAGCATCTATCTGTGTGTCCAGTGCCGTTGCACTGGGCAGGATGACTTGCAGCAGCACCAGGGATGCAGTGGTCAATTTTTGAAGCCAAGGCACTGAGTTGTCCCTGATAACAGGCCTAGGAGACTTACCCTGCATTCAGTGTGTGCAGCTTGTTTGCAAAGGGCTGTTTTCAGGAGTGCTTGAACATTGTTTTCTCTCTCTCAGCTAATAAAGAATTGCAATAAGTGCCTCAAATTCTGTTGGCCAAGACCCAGAGACTGGTGAACTATTTCATATAAACAACTAAGCTAAAATGGCCCATATTATGTGCTTGACAATATCATGACTTGGAATTAACTAGTTTTGCTTTTAGATGATAAGAATGTCTTGGATCCAGTTGGTAAATTGGACTTCTAATTTCCAGATAAAGCTCTTCTTTATTCTACTGCAATATGAAAACCTTTGGCTGAGATGTAATGTGATATTTCCTATCTTGGCCCTTATGCTAATGTAATTTGAATGGGGGTGAGAGACTACTTATAGCAGTGTGTGCTTATCTCAACATCTGTGTTATATGTGCACATGTAGATGCATTGGTACATCTGTGGAATTTTTATGATGTGAGAAAATTTGGTATTTTTGTGTAGTTACCATCTAGATGCTTCTGATGTAGCTTGAAATATAAAAAAATGACATTTAGATGCAAGTATTTCTTAGATCTTGAGAAACTAATTTTTAAAAAAGGTTTTTCCATACTGTAGGCTTTATGCTATTAAAATGAGCATGTATAAGGTTAGATACAATTTGCTTTCCAGCAGCAAGAATAGGGTTTACATTACACAGCAAGAAGTTTGCCCATATGACTGTATTCTCTGTGAACTCAGAGTACATTCCCCTGAGGGTGCTGTATGTGCTTAATGTTAATTATATTTATTAATTAATCTTTTTATAGAAAGGCATTGAAGACAATACATTGAGTGGTAGAGATTTTATAATTTCACACGTCCCAGGCTACTTGTCACATTATCATTATGCTTTCCTTTCTCTGAACTTCACATGAACTACCAGATTGCTTCTTTCTGGTTGCTGAATTTTAAGCTCTACAAACTTGGATGACATAAGGTTGAGTTGACAGTTTGCTTCTGTTGTTGATGCTCCTTCAAGAATTTCTTTAGGCCATCAGCTCAGATAAACCTGCTTGGAGAAACTTATTGTTATTGGTTGAGTAAGGAATCAGTGTGCTTATAAATATGCCCTCAGTCACTACAGTGATTTTTACCTTTTTTTTTTTTTTTTTGTGTCAATGGAAGCCTGTAGAAATATTATTCAGACAGTACATGAAAGAATTCTTAGCCAGGAGTGGAAATAAAAATTTCATATTATTTAAATGCACCAACAAATGAATATAGAATATGGGACTGTAATATTTTTGCATGAAGCAAATATGATGTTATAGCTGCTCATAATATACAAGAATATAATTTCAGTGTGTTATGGATATTTCAACTGTGATATGATGTTATATTTTGATCATCTTGATACTGTTTCATAAATAATCCCCCCCAGGGCTATAACATAATTTAGCCTTGCTGGTACCAATATATTAGGTGGTTTTGGAGAGAAGGAGATGTGATCTCTAAGATACTTTAACATCTAGTTCATACCAGAGAGGTTTGATGGCTCTTGCACTACTAAAAGCTTTGAAATCCATATTTAGAATATATTTCAGAAGTTTTAAGGGGATATTTGTTCCTAACAGTTTACTTATTTGAGAATATTACTTATGCTGAAATGGAACCTAGCTCAGATTATGGATAGAGAGATAGAAACTGCTTAGGGTACTGTATTTTATGCATGGTAAAATTAAAGAAAGAAGTGCATAAAGAAGGATACCTATTTATCATTGCTGTCTTTCATTTACTAACATCCCCTGTAGAAAGAAGCATGTTCTCTTATTTTGGCTTTTATTTGGTCACTCTGAGTACATCCACGTGGAGCAACAAATGGAGCAAAACACGTCAGGATGCCCCCAAGTAGTTTGTTGTAAATATGAATGCAACAAGAATGTTGATTGCTTTTGATGATTATTTCTAATGAAGGATGTTATGATAATAATACAGGCTTTATAGATATTTAACAAATATGCTTGTTCATAGCTGACAGGCAGCAGTTATTTCACCAATTACCATCATTACATTAAAAACTCATTGTGGGGTGCATTAGAGTGTATGAGCATGCAAGGCAGCATCTTGAAATTCACTTTTGATTTAAGCTGTGCATTCTGATTACTGATGTAGTATATGAGAATTGACTTCTTTTCAATACAGACAGATCTTCTTTATTACAGCTGTGTTTCTATATATTGCATGAGCTTTATTATATAGAATGACATGCTAAGATGACCCTATAGTGTGTGTTTCTGTAATTATGATTTCTTAATATTTATTGCTGTTTTGGCATTTTAAAATAACCTGAACTTTCCTAGGATTTAACTCTTTAATAAAGTCAGAAGAGAAGGTCAGTCATATGTTTCAGTCAATGCAGAATGTTTGTTGGCTTTTCTAAATGAAAATGGATATCTGTTTATCTTACCTTAAAGGTCAGAGCCTGAACTTTTAGCATATAGATGTAAGGGTTATTGCTGATATTCTAATGCCATTAAGGCTGGTTGTATAACAGTCTACCTTAATAGCTCACACAAATTAAGATAGTGCAGGACATGACAGTGAGCCTATGTTTATATATATTTTGGTGTAAACTGATACACAGTAAGTATAAATAGAAATAGTTCTTTGCAGCTAATGAATAAAGAAAATAATACCACTGACACAGCACCCAGAGTGTTGGGACAAACTTTGACCTCATCTAGACCAGGACACTCCCAGAGTGTTTCTTCTTTGGCTGCAAGGGTTTGAGCCAATGTAATTGAGAGAAATTTAGTCCAACACTTATAAATAATAAATAACCAATTATATAGCAAATGACTTTAAGCCTCAGTCTCTGAGCACTTAGTAACTTAGCAGCATTTAGCCTGATACTCACAAAAGCATTCAAAGACTACTTTTCCATTGTATGTTGTGTTACTCAGGTTTCAGATGTACTGATTTTGACACTGCTGTACTAAGGCAAGCCTGAAGTACTCAGTCTGTAAATTAGCTTCATCTTATTTGATTGCCCTTAAATGTAATGTTCATGGCATCACATCTCTTAATACATATTTGTCTAGCTAAATCAAATATACAATACTTGAGGTAAAATGTCAAAACTGAACTCATGTTTTTTAAGTTGGTCCTAGTTCCACCAAATAGTTTGCTCATTTTTTCTGAAGTATTCAGTGCACCAGGACTTCAGTCCACATCTCCCCACTTAAAGAGGGTGACTTAGCTACCAACCAAGGGAGTTGTGACCCATCGCTTCCTTTTTGGCCCAAAGAATATTTCTCTCTTGCAAAACAGTATAGCTTCCAGGGAAAGAAGTGAGTGACAGAACTGTAGGATACCTTAGAGCAGGAAAGCTGTAGCAATTACCAAATCCATCACAGAAAGGATGTAGCAGCTGTGTTCTAGGAGATGGTGAGTCCTGAGACGAAGGAGACATCTCTGCACAGTGCAACAGAGAAAACTGGTTAAATTAATGGATTATGAGACTTGTTCTTCTTCAGAGTTTCTTGTTTGATTCCTGCTTGGCTTGCTTACCTTTCTGTGGTTAAAAATGCTCCATCTTACACACAGAGATGATCTGAAACACTGCAAGTCCCACCATCTGTCTGGGCATTCCATGCTGTGGCAGGGTGACACTCAGCCCTGCTGCACCCAAGTTCCTTTCTGCAAAAAGTCATTAGGGACATGAACAAGATGCCATGGATAGTTTGGGAGTATGCTAATTTGGAATTACAACATATTTGCTCTGGAGCAGAGTACATGTATGGACAATTACTTGTTTTGCTTGGGTTTATATAGCAGAATGTACAAGACAAGACCCTGAACTTGTCTGTAAGATATCCTGCATCATGTATCTCAAGTGTACAGATTTACATGCATTTTTCATCATACTCTCCTGTTTTCCCCACTCAGTTTCTTGAGCCAGACTTTGAACTGACATTTTAAATTTTTGTTTAAAATTTCTTTTGATGTGAAATGTTCTTTTAGAATTCCTGTTCAGATGCAGTAAGGGTGTTTGTCACTTTTGGAATGAAGCATGTAGTTTCCTAAATCACTTCAGTGACCTTGAGAAATGAGATTCAAAAGTGAAGCAAATAATTTTGGCCATTATTAGTCGCTGAAGAAACATAAACTGCATCAGGTTTAATCTTTACATTTTTTAAAAACCATTTCTGATCACTATTAGCAGGCTGCAGCAAAAAGGGAAACAAATGTTTCTATTTGATCAAAGATCTTCTTGAGAGGTCTGAGCTTTGCTTGGAGAAAAAAAACCACACTTTTTCCAAATCACTCAACTACATAAAAATGGGCATGCAATTAGTCTTGATTGTGCATGTGACTGCAGAAATTTTATAGACAGCTGAGCAATCAGCCTTCTAAGCAGTCATTTGCACGTACAGTTGGCCTGACCACACGTGCACAAATTATGAAAATACATGACTTAAACTAGAAGCAGTAAAATAGTCTTGGTTAGTTTAGTAAAGCCCTTTACAATAAGGAGAACATATTTGCTGTTCAGCTCTTGCATGAGATACAGTCCTTAATAAAAAAACTGCTTTCCAGTGTAAAACACTAGGATAATTATTTCAGCAGGCATGCATCTGTACATGGATCTCCAGAAAGAGTCTCCTGTGAAAAAGCAGGAAATTGAAATGCTTGGAAGGACAGTGTCTGCTCTGATTACTGTCAGAGAGTGTTTGGCCCTTCTGCTTCATTTTGTTGTAATGTTCTCTCCTTATTCTGTGTCATTTTATAATCTACTACTTTCATTAAGTGAGGATGCTTTATTTTGCAATTTTTGTGCTTTTATGTCA